AAAAAAAAAAAAAAAAAAAAAATTATAATAAGTTTTATCTTTTTATTCTAATATTTTGTTTAGAATAGGATTTCTAATTTATCTTAAATTATGATTTAGTTTATTTCTTTTTAGAATTTAATTTATTTATTTTGGTTTCCTTGTTAATATTAATAGGATTAGGGAGTAATTTTGGCATAAATATAGATGCATTGTACACTTTTCATCACAATCAATCATAAATTAATAGAAAAGCAAAATTATTTCAACGTAGTTCTTAATTCAATTCTTATTACAAGAATTTCTAAACACTTTCGCACCATGTATTCATGAGAACCAAAATGCAATTGAAGAAATAATTATCCTAAGCGGCGTCACCAAAATTTCACTACACGTCTCATATTTATCGTATAACTATAACATGTTATCCCAATCAATTGTAACCTGTCGCAATAATCCAAATGATGTTTATGGGAAGGTTAATTCACTTTGTAGCCTCAAAATATCATCACATACTGTCTTGATATAAAACCAAATCGTATATTTTTGTTTACCAGCATAAAAAATTCCGTCGCATTGTACATATCCTCATCATTAAATTATATGACCTCAAATTTTTAATCATGTCATGTCTCATAAGGTCAGAAATAAATATCATCATGTTTATCTTGTTGACCTTTCAGTCATGAAAATGCGGTTAACGTTTAATTTCCAAACTCTCATTTTTAACTAAATAACAACACTACATTAACCCATCCTTTTTTTTTTTAAAACTCACACCCAGAAACAGATGCTGCTTTATCAATTTTTTCAAGAGGCTCAGCAAATTCTGTTTGCCTTGCATTCTTCTCTTCTTTCCAAATTTTCAATATGTGTCCTTACTTGATATTCTTCATTTTCCGTTCATCATAACTTATTTGCCTACTCTTTCATTCCTATAATTAAACTTATAAACATTGATTTTACTATTAGTCAATGTATAAGCCGGGAACAAAGACAGGACCATGGTCACTAGAATTTCAATTTTAAAGCCCCAAGGCAAGTCATATACAGTAACACCATGTTCTCCATGAAAAAACATTCCACATAGGTTCTTTATCATGTCACATACCGTCACAATTCCTATTACATGCATCATCCTCCATACGCTACATAGTAATCATAAATTCCCATGAAAATCCTCATAATCCTGCAATCACTCAATTTCTCAAACCAATCATAACTCCATCTTACAATTGTCACCAATTAGACATGCCAAAACATTATCCAACACTTACAACGCTAACTTTAACTTTCAACCAGTCATGCTAAATAATGAAAAGTCATTTTGTGTCAAAGGAATGTGGGCCTCATTTTACATGTTCAACTCTATTGATAAAAGTAACCTAAAATGGTCATGTGGTTGTGACTCCAAAATTAATAGGCTCTTCAAGGTTACCCAACTCAATTTCTACCTAGTAAGACAAATCGTGGGAAAATATATGAATTGATC